GACCCTGTCGAATGGTGCAGTCATATATGTCTCTAGAAATTATTAAAAAAGGGTTCAGTCCAATGGTGCAGCAACTTCGGATTCCTATTCTCCTCAGAGACATAGAAACTCAAGCTTTTCGAATTTTACTGGCAATGATTTTCGTTAATGTCCCCGAGAATTATACAAAAACAGCGCAATGCAATATCGCAACGGTTTCGACTTCTCTTTACTCTACCAAGTTATAGAAACTGGAGTCTCTCTAATACTGTTCTAGTCAATATTTCTGAGAGTATAAAAAGAGGGTGTAATATTGCAAGAAGTTTTGATCTTTTGATGGATGAATTTTCTCATTTCTCCATATGATTTTGTTGAAAATAGTTCCTTTCTTTGGTTCCTTTGTCTGATTTTTATTTACCGTAACAACTCAGGTATGTAAAGCACAGAGGATATGATGTTAAGTATATTTATGTATTATATAAAGTACCTATATTTGTATTAAAAATTTAAGAGGTTATGTTGAAAAATGATCGATATGCTATTAAACTTTAATAATTTAGTAATTAGGTCTGTTGGTAGACCCTGCACTATCTTCACTGGTATAGTTTTGTAATATTTAAATCTGGTTGATGAAAAAGTACACACCAGTGCAGGTTATTGTAGCATCTACGAACAAATGAATTAATGGCCCATTGGCAATTATTCCTTTAGGAAAAATATTCAACACAGCTTAATTAATTAATAAAATGAAAAAAATCACAATCATGTCGTATATAGTTTTTTTTAAGCATAAAATAATTTTTATATTAAAACTAGTTCAAAAGTGAAATTACGACCTCTATACTGTGGAGAGTATTGAAACGCTCGACTGACGAATACCACTCTATACCGTAGGGAGATTTAGAAATCGATATTCAAACGTGGCGTCATCCTATACACCTCTATAATTTTCCGTTTGCTGTGTATGCTACCTTAAGGTAATATAATTATTAAGTACGTAATTAGTACAGTCCATCTGCCGAAAAAGGGCTGTTTTAAAAAAAGTTGACCAGGCATTTTTTGCATGAATTGTTTGGGGCTCATAAAAAAAGCTGAACCCCAACTTTGCGAGATTCAAGGTAAAAACTCAATTTTTGGTTGTTTTTTGTTATTTTTTTTTTTCTAGAAAACAAGAAGTTTTATGGAATAAAATGTAATCTTAAAATGTAGTGGGCATCGTCCCCTACAATTTATGTTATTGGCTCTCTACGACGAAAATACAAAAAGTAGGTGGCGCAAAAAAGTGTTTTATCGCTTTTTGACCCCGAATTTTTTTTAACGCATCACTAAATAAGTTGGTTATTTCAAAAAAACCTACAACCATTGATTACGCTACAACATTCATATTAACTTTTTTCCTACGATAAACCATTTCGCGGTTTATAGCGCGACGGGTTTTTGTATTTGATTTTTTTTTAGACGGTTAAGCCGGGTCTACAATTGTCGCAGGTCGCACATCGCAGAACATAAGCTTGCGCAAAGCACCCAGCTGACAAAAGAACCTTGCTCCATCGCCACGTCGCGGGGTGCTTTGCGCAAGCTTATGTTCTGCGATCGAACCCGACAATTGTAGACCCGGCTTTTTGACCCCGATATTTTTTTAACCGCGGCACTGTGATAAGAAAGGGTGTTTATTAATTCTATTTGTTTTAGTAGTTTATTTACATTTATGTATCAACTTTTTTTTTCCTACGATATATCGTAGGAAAAAAAAAGTTGATACATAAATGTAAATAAACTACTAAAACAAATAGAATTAATAAACACCTTTTCTTATCACAGTGCCGCGGTTAAAAAATATCGGGGTCAAAAAGCCGGGTCTACAATTGTCGGCCTATAGGCCGTTTCGGAGTTATAGCGCATAAATGCAGCGTTGTGGATTTTCTATTGTTACCGGCGTACGGGGATTGTTTTTTTAAGAAAGCTTTTAAACATCAATATTTAGCTCTCAAACACAAATGAGGACACAGTTGATGTGTCAATAAGGTAAGTATTTCTATAGATTTTTGTTTGTTTGTATTTTCAGGCATGTAAAATTACGTTTTAAAAAAATGAGTGTTTGTTTCAGCTGCAAACCAATTTTGTTGATGATTAGCACATATACTGTGGATCCAAAGCATATTCAACTCAAGGTGATTTTGAAAATAAAAGTTTGCTCATAGAAAAAACCTACCTCAACTATGTAAAAAAATCTAGAAAGTTGATTTTAACCTGCTTCCACCCAACCGATTTAGCTAAAATTTTGCACACACTTTTGGTGCTGGTATTATAATTGTTATAGATTGATAAAATTAAATTTTATACTTAAATAAAAACATGTCGGCAAAATTGTCTTTTTACCATTTTAAGTTGTTTTTGTAAAAAAACTACTCAAAACAATACAAAACATCAAACAATTATTAACTGTCAAAACATCTTACATCTTGAATTAACTTCAAGAGTTGAAGCATATGTTCTGTAGGGTGTCCGTTATTTACCATTTTGTTCGCAGCGCCCCCTAAATTTTTAGTTTAAACTAAAAATTTAGATGGAAAATGGATCGTCTTTGTGGCAAGGTTTATTATGAATATTTTTTTTTATAATTTTTTTTTAGGACATAATTATGTCCTAAAAAAAAATTATAAAAAAAAATATTCATAATAAACCTTGCCACAAAGACGATCCATTTTCCATTTAAATAACATGGGGTTTCGGCAAGTTTTACATTTATTTTTTTTCTCCAGAGCAAGTTAATATACAGCAATAATATCTTTATAGGAAATTGAACGCTGTACAAAAAAGCTCTCTTATGATTTTTCGATAAATTCACTGGTTTAAAAGTTATTTAAGGTTAAAATAGAACTTTAAGTAATTTTTTCGATTTTTATACTTTGACTGCAAAATTATCATTATTTTTATGAAAATAAATTGTTAATTTTTGAAAATATGTGATTTTATTGTATTATTGTAAAAGTAAAAATTATTGAATAGAGATCAAGTTTTATAAACGCCATTTTAGTTACGAGTTTTATTAGGCACGAGCGAAGCTTATTAAAAACTAGTAACTAGATATGTTTATAAAACGAGTTGCCTATACTTTATCTACTTTATCTACGACGAACACAAAAAAGAATTTAAAGCCAATTATATTTGTTAAACATTTTACATCTGTTATAATTATATTTATAAATGTCAACGGAATTAACCTCACTTTTCTCTAATATATAATAACGCTAATTTCAGCCCGTGACTAAAATGCCCAAAAGCCACTACTTATTGTCAACTTCATCCCGTGACTAAAGCGCCATATGTCACAGTTCGTCAATGTAGAAGTAGATAATAGTATATTATGTATCAAGTTTGATAAACGCCATTTTATACACGAATTTAATTTAGGCACGAGTGAGCTTGCGAGCGAGTGCTTAAATTAATGAGTGTATAGAAAAGTTTATAAACGAGGTGCATACTATACTTTTTCTACGATAAATACTTATTATTATCTTAAAATGATTTCAATCAAAAATTTGTAGAGCGCCATCTATGAAAAAATAGGGGAATCTGTGTGTCACAGTCAAATGTCACATTTTTATATTTTATAAACCCAGATTATAAAGGTTATAAATCGAAATGTATTTCTTGATAATTGACAGTTTTCACAGTGAAAGTAAAAAAATGTTTTATGAGGACTTTACAGTGGAGTCCGTGCCCGAATTTAAGTTATAGTTTACTGCCGGCGAAATTAAAAGGCCAGTAAAATGTTCATATAAACTTTTCAAATATTGGCGTTGAGAAACTATTTAATACTTTTGTATTTTTGTATTGAGATAATAAAATAATTTTCACATTTAGTATTATATAATAAAATAAAATAATAAAATAAAGTTTCTTTCTTGTAAAATATTTTACAAGAAAGAAACTATTTTAACGATTGTATGACATTTGACAACTGTCAACTAACTTAAAACTAACTTCAGCCCGTGACTAAAAACCTGTTGCTAACTTCAGCCCGTGACTAAAGCGCCATAAAGCCACAACTTGCCAATGTGTATTTAGTTTCATGGAAACGTACGATAAATGGCGTTTTAAAGGTGGGAGTAGAAAAATACATTTAACTTATTTGAAAAAAATAATTGGTGTAGCGGAAATGTCTGCATTTTATACTCAAGACAACGTATTCGTAACTTATGCGTAACTACGAATTTTATTTTGTAGTAAAAATAATTGGTAAAAGAATTTCTACGTCATTAGCTGTACTGAAGGAAAACTTTTATTGTATAATATTTTATAAAATCGTATAAAATTTTGTAGAATTTCACAGAAATAAAAAGATTAAGTCTGGCGCCATTGATTGTGATACCCCTTCATTTAACGCTGGCGCTTTAAACGTGCTTACGTGGAAAGTACTTTGGTATTAATTCTTTACGTTTCTCTAGTTAGCTGTTTTTGTTACTATTTTTTTGTAATTTTTAACTTTACCGCTTTAAATACAGAACACTTTAAATATGCTACCTACTTTATCAACTTATCATAACCACAGAATAACCCTATAACCAGATGATTTCTGATTGTTTTGTAAACAGTGCACCATTGTTATCTTTATAATCTGTGATTGTTATATGTCAATAGATAAAAGACTGCAGTGCACAGTGTTGCAGCATGGTTGCAGCATGGTTGCAGTTTGCGGGTATTTTTCCCACAAGTCTGATATTTTCGATCAAAATACAAACTAAAGAAATTTTAACTAAATAATATTGTATAATTACCAAATTTACCTAATTATTTTATTCTATTCTGTTACCATTCTTCTTGTTTAATCTAAAATTTAATTCATTTTTCAAAATAGAGTAAATGCGGTAGTAAATTTAAAAAGATAACTATTTTTTTACTCTTGCGGGAAAAATCGGGAAGGTTTTTTGTAATTTTTGTTTGGGAGCTCTCACGAAATTAATCACTGCAACTGCAACACTGCAACTGCAACACTGCAATGACTGCAATAGTCACTGCATTGATAAAATTTGATTACATCGTCTTTTGTTTGTTAAACTAAGGATATTTGTTGATTGCCAGAATGAAGATAAAATTTGTTTTGTCGGAAAAGAATGTAGGGTTTATAGAAAAAAGCAATACCTATGAAGTAAGCTTAATGTGGGTAATTTATTTATTTTTTTTAGACTGTCCTGGAAGGCCCCCCAATTCCAAATGACGAGGAGTCCGACGTATGGGGACAAGGATACATGACACCAGCAGATGCAACTGGCCCAAGGAGGTAAATTTATTTAATTAAATTAATTTTAATGTATCTATTGAAACATTTGAAGAACAAACAATCCGCAAATGGGAAAGAAAAGCTTTATTAGGTAAAATACTAATTTATTTTATAAAATCAAAATCTAATCCAATCTACCTAATCTAATTTAGTTTATAATTAGTTAACTTAAGTATACTTAGTATACTACTTAGTATACTACTATATACTGCCCTACAATGCTAAAATGCAATTAAGTAATAAATAACAAAAGATAATATTTATTGTTATTAATAATAAAGTTCTAAAAAGTAGGAGTAGCAGTAGCAGTAAGCCAGTGTTGACAATATAATAATATAAATGGTGCAATGTGAATGGCTGGAGTAGGGTTCAGTAGCAACCAAGGTGTTGGCGTAAGAGATGGCCAAGTTTTAACTTTTCTTGCTGCTACTCCTACTCCAGCTAATCACATTGCAGACATTTTATTATACCCAGATAGCACAAAGAAGTACTAAAAACGTCCTGAGTATATCTTGTATCAGACATTAGTAAGTTCCGAGTACGTCCGAATCAGGTCCTGAACCTTCCCCAGGACGTTCCAGGGACATCCGATGTTACCAAATCGTCGGTCCCCAGAACGTCCTAAGAAAGACATCCTCTGGCCATCCTGAAATGCTTTATTGGGGACTAATGGACAAGCTTTACAGAATTGAAGAGTGGTATTCCCAAAGGCCCAGACAGCAATATGACGTCTTAATTAAGACTTATTTTATTAATTTGTTAAATGGATTTTATTAAAATCATTTTAATAATTTGTTCGTATTCGCTTATTTTAGGAATTGCGATTACTTCGTCCCACTTTTGTTTAAATTTAAGCGTGCTCTTCACCGGCACCGATAGATGGCCTGTTACCCTCTTTTGGAGCTCGTCAGTATCGGGTAGCCGTTTACCTAGGTCTAAGACCGTTTGGTATGAAGCACGTTCTAAATTCTACTTCGCCGCTTCTTATATCAAACACAAGCAGTTACAGCGGTGAGAAGAAAGAATCGCATTAAAATGTCATAAATGTGACGTCTCCATGATGACGTCTTAAAAAGTTAATAATATGTACAAAAAAACTCATACAGCTATATTGTGGCTGTGTGAATAAAACTTTTCCGTCAATGTCAAGCTGACATCGAGCTTTGTCACATCCATTATGACTTTTTTAACATTTTTAACCAAACAATGCATACGAACTCTGGCAAGCCATTGAAGCCATTTGGAACGAGATAAAGCAAGACGGCGACTTCCATGCTTTGCCGTTTGCGGGCAGTAATTGACAAAAACAGAGGGATGACGAAATATTAATTTTTTTTTCAAACTTCAACCTAACTTTGTATTTAATTTTAGACCTTTCAAATGTGACGTATCATGTTAAAAGCCATAATTACTCCAACGAAATGATGAAAATCAGGAACACTAGATTTTTAAGCTGTATGAGTTTTTTTTGTTAGCGATAGTACGTCCTTGGGACGTACCCAGTATATCCGCTATAATTTTCCCAAATAAGTAAGAGACTGGACGTACCCAAAACTTCCGATATAGGTCTAGGACGTTCGGACCTATGTGGGACCCGAAATGGACGTCCTGGGTACCTCTTGTGCTATCTGGGATATTATATTGGCAACACTGGCTTACTGCTACTGCTACTCCTACTTTTTAGAACTCCAGCTTTAAAATGATCTTTTAAATTTTAAATTGGATACCTAATGCATTTTAGTGTTGTTGCAGTATAATACTACTTTATAGAGTTGATTATATTATCATAGTATATCGTCCCCGTTCTGGCAAAAGTCATTAACTCCATTTTTGTCTAAAAGTAGTTGACTACCTTCGCGATCATAGAACAATTATATCTGTGGTCTAGAAAAACTTATTAAGTGCAGTATTGTATTTTTAGCATGCTAAAAATACAATACTGCACTTAATAAGTTCTTCTAGACCACAGATATAATTGTTCTATGATCGCGAAGGTAGTCAACTACTTTTAGACAAAAATGGAGTTAATTACTTTTGCCAGAACGGGGACGATATTATTAAGTATTTAATATGGGAATAAATAAAGTCACACATGTGACTTGTACATTACAGACATACCTACATATTGTAATACTATAGTATTATGTTATTTAATAAGCGAAGCTGCACCACTGTAAAAAGTTTAAAACCACATGTCGCGACATTTGTTATTGAATGTTTTTGAATTTTTAACATCGTGCTTATGTTATAGTTGTCAAAATTATCAATTCTCTTTGGAATGTGATATGTGTATAATACGCTAAAGAAGTATTGCTAGTAGCGCCACCACTAGGCTGTTATCATCGTAATAAAAGTACAACTTTTAATAATCAGCTGTCAAACGCTTATGTTACAAACGAGTGTTTTTGAGAATAAAGTCGGAAAATGTTAAAATATATCGGAAAAAAACCGTGGCACGATTTGTTGTGTTGTTGGGTGTATTTATAAAGAGGAAATCCTGGGTTGAGTTTTAACCGGTTTTCCAATAAACAATGTTAATCCGAATGAAGAAATAAATTTCATACAGTCCCTGTAAATATAAATTGTACCTATTAGATAAAATAAATACACATTTTAGTAATGATTAACCTGAAAAATGTAATTCATTAAAAATCGTCAAACAAATAAGTCGTCTAAATTTAAACAGCATTTAGCATTATTAAAAGCGTTGAATAAGAAAGTCTCCACACGGTAAAATACCATTATATTATAATATAATATATTATATATTATAATATATATATATATATGTATATATATAATATTATGTTGCCATGAATTCGTAGGTATATTTTGTTGTTTAAAATGTAGTTGTAGGCGTTTTACGAGAACTCAAATATAAAAATGGTTGATTTTAAGGTTATGTGTGTGCAAAAATGATTTTTTACTAATTTATTAAAAATGTCCAAACCAAAATATAAATTATATTAGGTGAAGTTATCATTAGTTAATTCTGCAACAACAAATGTACTTACCGAATTGGATCCTATGACAAAACATGAAAATGCAACGATTTAGTTCTTGAATTTTATTTACAATTAAAAACACAATAATTCACCATAATCAGGGCCGTTCCTGGCGAGCGGGCAGTGCGTGCATGCACGCAGGCGCAACACTTTGGGGGCGCAAAATCAAAGATTCAATCTGTACTCGATAAACTTTCTTACAGATAAACAAATACTTAAACATACATAGGATAAAGGTTACCGCCTTTCTTTGCGACGCGTCGCACTATGTCGTAAACAGAGTGATTAGGTGACCAAAAATATTTTTGTTGAAAAACATATTGAAAATGCTTTTTTGTTATACAAAAAGATCATTTTTAATAAATTTAACCATTAGTTAGGATTAAAAGAAGCTAAGATAACCCATATGCCTATCTCAGAAACAACTGTAGTCATGAAAAATTTGTAGGAAACAAAAATATTTGAATTAATACCTATTTTTGTTGTAATTTAATTTATACAGGGTGTTTAATTTTTTCTGGGACGATACCAATTTTAATATTTTCGATTTTTTATTCTACGTACTTTTTTATGTTTTTAATGGCCTTTTGCAGAGCTAAAAGGGATTCCGCACTATTTGAAATGGATTAGCAAGAAAGTTAAGAAGTTATTTTTATAGCCACTTGGCTATCGTTTCTTAAATATTATTATAGGCTCAGGGGAGCTCTGGCCCTTGTACTGCGACCTTTGGGTCTATTATATCCTGTGTCTCGGGTTTTTAGAATCGAGGGATCTTTTATCCCTATAAGCGTATTTTGTCTTTTTCTGAATTGGGCTTTCTTCTGGTTTAGGATACCCCGATTTTGTTCAAATTATATATTATTATACCCCTTAAGCGTGTTTTGAATAAGGTCATAATTTCTTCCGCCTTGTTTTCAATATTGAGTTTTTTGGAGTGTATTAGACCGGGAGGGTAATTCGTTGAATATTTTTTGAAGCCATTTTAAAAAATGGTCTTTGCAGAGCTACAAGGAATTCTGCAGTTGGGCTCTGTTTATCTACTCCCTTTTTGCCAATTTTTAAATATAGGTAAGTAATAAATAAATGGAGGTAAAATATTAAAAGAAACCCCTTTAAGAACGCATTTAGGATAAAACTAAATTTTCATTACTGTCCCTCATTATAAAATGTTGATTTTTATCACTCAAGTGGTTTTACACTACAGCTTTTAGCTAAGGGGGATTTACACTACAATTTTTATCGACAATTTTTTAATGGGAGTATTTTTCAGAACTAGTTTATTATTCTGTAATTTGTGTTGATGTTAAAAACAACTAGGTACTTTAAAATCCGGACGATTACTCAAAATCCGCCCGGACCCACCCGGACGTAGTAAAAACCCGAACATATCCGGGCAAATCCGGACGTCTGGTAACCCTATATATATATATAGGGTTACCAGACGTCCGGATTTGCCCGGATATGTTCGGGTTATATATATATATATATATATATATATATATATATATATATATAATTATATAGTTTTAAATTAATATATATTTATTATTTTTATGTTTTTAATTAATTTTAAGGCGCCAGATTTAAAAAAAAACTCGGAAAATAAAGACAAAAGTTTAAAAAAATGAGCTCTAATACACATTTTTTGACATAAAATCAAGTATAGCCAAGTTTCTCAAAATTTCCCGTAAATATCCTTAATAACGACCATTATTTGACTTTAATTTGCCGGGTGTGCAGTGGTCTAATGCGGTTAATGGCGTGGAAGTTGTATGTCCATCCAACTCACCAGCACTGTTTCTTGCACAAACGTATGGTTTTTTCAATATGTACCAAAAGTTCGAAGTACCAAACAGCAGAGGGGTGTTCCTGGATTTGCTTTTCACAAATGACAGTTCTGTAGATTGTGTTAAGTCACTGGACCCTTTATTTGGTGACTCTATTCATCATATATCGTATATCTGTAGCTTTAATGTGTTAAGTGAAAAGTTAAAC